AGACTCAGCTTCTCTGTTATGCTCTTTTTCTACCCAGTCATGTTACTGACCTGTTGCCAGTTAAACACCAGCTGTTTTTTTATTATTATCACCCAACTTTACCAGTCTTTTGTTGCTCTATCCCAAAGTTTTTGAAACGTGTTGCTGGACCAAGTTCAAAATGAGCATATATTTTTCAAAAAACAATAAAATTTCTCAATTGTAACCTTTGATATGTTGTCTTTGTACTATTTCCAATTAGATATAGGCTTTAAATCATTTGCACATCATTGCATTTAGTTTTTAATTGACATTTTGCACCGCTTCCCAATTTTTTGGGAAACAGGGTTGTATAATTTTTATACATTTTTATAATGCTATTTTCATGACACTGTAAATAACAATATGGGGACATTGTGGTGGTTCTGTGACACCATATAAGCGTAAAATATTCACATTTATGTACGTTGCAATGTATTTATCAAGAATGGTGGAGACACCGACTTAGTGGAGAACTGTACATGTTGTAAGCTTGAGAGTGGACTGCTGTGTTTCAGGACACCGTGTATATAAACACTGCTCAGGAGATTCCAGAACTTTCAGAATGTGTAGGCAATGCACTCAGTCCACCTACATTGATGTTCCAAATGGTTGGACAGAGTGCCTCCCCTGCACTGTGTGTGATGAAGGTAAAAATAAACTATTTCCTGTAACTTTTTTACTATTAATACTTTGGAACAACAGTTTTATGTCTAAGCCTTTTTACTCTTAACCGTTCTATTATCTTTGGGGTTCATTTGACCCTATTCAGTGTTTTAACATCTCTATTATTGACATTTTTCTGCTTCATATTTAGTGACTTTTCCTAATTTAATGGGGACAAATGGGTAAAAATAAAATGAACATGAGGATATGTTTTCAATGTCCTGTACATATTTTGTATACATCAGTGTTCTTTTGGTTAGTTTGACCCCAGGCTGTTTTAGCTGTTTAAAATATAAGAAACATCAACTTTTACACGCATTTGTTTTGGTTGTTTTGAATGACTTGCAATTTTATAAAAAAAACTTCCCTCTGCTTTAGGACTCTAACCTTACATAACAAAACCTGTAGTGCAAGAACCACTGATAGTTCACATCAGTGGGGAGGGGAAAACAGAATTTCCAACAGAACTTTGATATCTCCTGGAGGTTTTAATTGCTGGGGTCAAATTGACCCAAAAGGATAAAAGAGGTTAATAAATTTGAGGAGGGTAAATAAACAATAAAATATTGTTTTTCTCTTAAATAAATTGTGTGCATTCCTTTACACTGCCACAGTGTTACAAGAGCCGCACCTGTAAATACCTTTTAAAGACCAATTAACATTGTTTGTTTTATTTGTTTTTGAGATCGCTGTGTACCAGTTTATCTCATAGGAACCCTCTTAAAAGTTAGAATACGAGGGAGCGGAGAAGAAAATTTATGCAGCTGAAAAAATTATAAACTGTTAAACTATGACCTGTTTTTAGAAGTTCATTTAAAAGAACATACCTGCTTATTTATTTATTCTTTATATTTATTTTCTTTCTTCAGGTATTGGATTAAGAACAAAGCAAGAATGTCATTCATCTGCAGACGCTCTGTGTGAGCCTCTGTCAGGGGTATTATTGTATAGAAACACACGGCAAGACCTGCAGAAAAGCCAGACAGCACTCCACCTGCCTTCCTGGACAATACATCAACCAAACTGGTCAGAACTTTATAGTCTGCTAAAATCAGAATGAAGCTAAACTAACTTCATTCACATTGTATTTAATAAAATACCCTTATGATATATGTCTGATAATTTTAAAGGGACTATGTATTTAGTGTTTAAAACCTAAACAGTTACGGAAAAACCAACAGTTAGTCTCTTATACAGTTCATTTTTTCGATTTTAGGTTGTCTTTGTTCATCAGTATTTTCAGTGTCACTTATATTCTAGCTGTTTAGTGTTTGCAGTTAAATAATAATATGTGCATAATCTGGTGTAGGTCATGTGATTGATAGATCCAGATCCAGTCATGTTACCAACTTCTCTGCATGTGTGTTTATTGTATCTTTACAGGTACAGCTTTTACTGATACTGTATGTATAGACTGTTCAGAAGGTTCATATTCAGACGGCTCTTTCACATTCTGTAAACCACATACACAGTGAGTATGATCTGTGACTTATCATCTGCATCCAGTAGGCTTGTTCTTTTACATCTAAACGTAATATGTTCTCCTCCTGCTCTTCACAGGTGTGAGTCTATGGGGCAGATAACAACCACACTGGGAACAAAGTCATCAGATTCTGAATGTACAGATAAAAGTTCTCATTTTCTCTCTTTAGTCGCCTTTTCTTTACCTGTGTTAGTAATATTAGGGTTGGCATTATGGATATTGTATTTAAGAAGAAAAAGAATAGGGAGGCAAGAAAATGAAGCTGATGTACCATCAACCCCAGCACAGACTGACAAAGACCATCATTTATGATCTTTTTTTTATAATTTGTCTTTGGTGTTTCCCTCTTTCCCTCATTTGTGTTCTATTAAGAGTTCTTATGCACAATTGTCCCATTTTCTAGAAGTTTTTATTGTGTACCTTTTTATTTATGTATTTATTTTTAAACTTTAATAAAGTTTGTACATAATTTTTCACTTCATTGTGTCTTTTTTTATGGCACAGTAACAATATCACTACCTTTTGTATGCAGTGATTTGTGCAATGCAGTTCTACACAAAAATGTTAAATTCATCAAATAAACAATAACTGTGGATTTAATATGTGGAGAAATGTGTTCTCTATAGAAGCATTTTTATGCTTCCATGGTTGCCCTGCAAGCTGTTAGCAAACCTTTCCCCAGAAACTCACCTACAATCTTGAAACAAATTTATAGCAACCGAAACAATCTGCCCTTGAATTCATTAAACTATGTAATACATTGTTGCATCACAATCTGAATTAAAACTAAACTGGCATCTGTTTTTGGCCCCAAAAGATCTTAATCTGCCAAGAAAGTAAATTCATTCCTGTGTCTTATTGAAAATAAATTTGCTATCATGGCAGTTCCACATGATAGTGTTGCATCTGTATGTATGCAAAGATATGTGTAAGATATAAGATATATAATTGTTTAATATGATTCAGGAAAAGACCAAAAATAATTTCCCTCATCTTCTTTGTATTAACAATGAGAGTAATATAATCGCACCAACCTACGAACTTTTTATTTTGTTGGAATAGTTAATGTCATCATTATCTGTCAGCACAGCTAGCAATGTAGAATTATCATCCAAGCCACTTGTCCTTCTGGGTCTCGGGGCATGCTGGAGCTTATCCCAGCGCTCATTGGGCGGAAGGCAGGAAAGATCTGGACAGGTCACCAGTCCATCACAGACAAACACATACTCACACCTATGGACAATTTAGTATCTCCAGTTGGCCTGACTGCATGTCTCTGGACTGTAGGAAGTGGAACCATAAGAAAATTTAAAAATAAACTGATTTGGTTCCTGAGCTTTGAAATTATTACTATACAATGTGAACATAAGCAGAAAACTAACACATCCTTGTGGGGTTTCAACAATAATAACTGGAAAAGACAGTGATGTAATCCCTGAAGGGGACCACCGCTAGGTCCAAAGTTTTATTACATACTTTTATAACTCAGCCAGTTTGCACTGAAGCCCCTGTAGTTACTGAGCCTTAGTATCTAATTAGCCAGTTGTCTTGCAGATGATGCAAAAAACAAAAGCACTGATATCGGCACCAGTAGCTTTTCCACTATTAAAAAACAATGGTTCTTCAAGGGTTCTTTAGTAAAGAAAATGGTTCTGCATAGAGCCATGAACACTCAAAGAACCCATTGCATGATTAAAGAGTGTTTTGTATCGTGAAATCAATTTTCAGATTGATGGAGAATGTGTTGTAGATGGTTCAATATAGAACCTTTTTTGAATAGGGTTCTATAGAGCACCAAAAAGAGTTCCACTATTGTTACACGTCAAAGAACCCTTTTTGCTAAGAGTGTAGCATTAATAGGAAATGAAATGTTTTGCTATTTTCATTTTTCCTATCTATTAATATATGGATTCATAACATTAAATGTCTTGTAATACATCGTTAAAAGGGTCTGTTCTGGGTTCTTGGTCACTCCTGCTTGGCTCTGACACAATTGGCTCAATCCTGTCACTGCCCACATCCACCTTACTCATATTACAAAAGAACAGGCTGCAACATGGAGCTCCGCTACAATCAAATCTTTAGAAGAATGACAAAAAACTTCAGTTTAAACACACAGTCTGCTGCAGTGTCTTTGTACTACGTGCCAGTGATTTCTGTAATATTTCTGTTTATAAAAAAAGAAAAAAACTTCTATGTAGTACGAATTTGACAGACAAGTTTTGTACTCATCTTTACAAAGCTAATGCAGGCAATAAACCGTCAACAAAATAATTCTTACATGATCAGCTTGTTCAAACAGCTAACGTTAGCTGGCACATTATGTCAGAGACCTTACATTGCTCTTCTCAGATCACAAAAAACTAGCTAGCTATGTCAGAAAATGGGAAATAAGGAGGATGTTATCCTTAGAATTGATTCAAAAATTGCTATGAAACTGAAAGAATAATGCTGTTTGGCAGATCGCTAACATAGCTAGCCAGCTAGCTTTAAAGTTTGCTACACATATAAAGCTTGTGTTCCTTAAACTGCTAATGTAGCCTGCTAGCCTACCATAAGCCAAAAGAGAGTTTAAATGAGGTCTGTCAAATAGACTTTACATATAAAACAGAAATCGCTGGCATGCTGTAAATGTTTCACAGAACCTGCTCACGTCAGCCTGCTGGTGCCAGCAGCTAATAAAAACTAGCTTTTTTGTTTGGGAATACAGCTACAGTTAGCAATGGCTTCTAGCATAGCTAGCTACATCTAAACAATGTCTACCAAATTCATACTACATATAAAAGTTCTTCTTTCTTTTAAAAACTTGACAGTTACTAACCTCAGAAATACAGGCGTTCGTATCACTTCAGCTCACCACAGAAAGGTGTCTCACTTTATCTTTGTCATAATTGCCAAGATTGAAATTTGAGGATGTGTCCAGAATGGTGAACCAAACGCACAATAATGCGGAAGTCCACACTAAATAAAAGATACAAATGAAAATGATTCGTGGAAAAACTCCTTTTTAGCTATTAGAGTACAGTAATGTCAGCTGACATCAACAGAGTGATAAATCGATGGATAGATGAAAATAACTATAACCAAAACGCTAGATATGCCACGGTTTGTGGGTTACACCAGTTTTTACCAGTTTTCCCCTCTTAATCTTCAGGGACACTGGGGCTAAGAATTCGACCACAAGGGGGCAATTTAATTCAATAAACTGACTCCAGTGACTACAGAGCCTACAAAGAATTCCTTAACAGTCACAGTAGCAAAAGGGTACATAAATTCGATGACAAAGATTTTACAGTCGTCATATCAAGTCACTCATTTTTATGTCAGGACGTCAATACAATGTGCTTCTACCCAAACTGAAGTCACAATACACACACACACACACACACACACACACACACAGTAAAATGGGCCATAAAAGCAGCTGCACTCCAGCAATTAATGGTGTATTTCAGGACAGTTCTGGCCCCGGAGCGCCACAGTTCAGCACAGCCTGGTGATTTCTCTGCTCAAACTCACCTACCGAACCAGGTAATTAGACAGAGGTCCTCCACCAGAGCTGCACATCCTTGCTGATATTAATGGCACTTGATCTTACCTGTAATTACATACACTGGGGGGTCAAACAGACCACCTGTCTACTACTGTAACCCTGTTCCTGGTAACCCACAGCTTTGCATGGTTTCAATTATTCCCTGACTTAATACAACTGATCCAGCTCTAAACTGAGTATGAAGCCCTTCAAGAGCTGGATCAGAGGTATTAAAACTGTGCAGTTGTAGCGGGTCACCAGGAGCAGGATTAAGAATGGCTGCTCTGGGTCTTTCTATGACTTGTGAATTTTGTAACATTACCTTGAGGGAAACCCAATTTTTTTCCTGCTGCTCAGAAAATGGAAAGGACTAAGGCAGAATGGATTATCAGCTATGCGTCAGTACATGATCCAACATAAATACATAAATAAACAAACCAACCCATGATTACTTGCCCATGGTTGTCTCCCAGAGTAATTATGTCTCAATACAATGTTTAACACATATTTACAGATACTGAAACTTAATTTTCTGAACTTGTTAAGGTCTGGCAGACATCTAGTGGTTCGACTGTAACTCTTTTTTTTCCATCAATTTAAATTTTCTAGATCACTAAAACAGACAAGGACATACTAAGGTACTGTTTTTTGGTGGTAGAACTGGTGCATTCTATCAGCTTTTTTACTCTATAGTTCTCAACTACTTTACAATCCTTAAGCAGCAATCAACCTCCAAAGATAAACATGTCATGTTGCTTCAGGGGGGAAATGTAAGAACAGCCCTACAGAAACAATCATTTTAAAGCATATCCATAGATCAGACTAGCGCCATTATGACACTGAAGGTAGGCAGCTGAGAGGCATCACACTCAGCTTGATAAACAGTTACATTATCCAAAGATGTAGTTTTAAAATAACTACGTTGGTTTCAGGCAGTAACTGATGTGCAAGTTAACATTTAACACAGCAGGGTGTAACACTCACCTGTGCCAAGTCTTCACATGCCATCATCTGTGTTACTTTATCGGTTCCTCTCCAAAATAGTAAAAATGAAAAAGATTTTATTAATCATATTGAATAAATGATTGTCTTGCTGCTACAGAGCTCTTGGTAGCTACATAGCTAACATTAATGACTGGTGATTGCCAAAGAGCAAGTTGTAAAGAGAGTTAAATCTGTGTGCAAAATACACAAAAAAACGACTAGTTAACATAGCTATACATTCGTCTGCACAGTGAAAGGAAAAAAGTTATTTCGTGTTTGCTCCTCATTAACTTTGATGAATTCCCTATCCTTTTTAATTGAGCTATAGTCTATGGTTTTGACATCAAGCATGAATAGTTCTCCAAACTTACCTGATAAACCTGCCTGCTGCCACAGAGCCACACTTGAGCTGTGTAAATAGTTCAGGGCTTCTATAAGTTATGATTAATATACTTTATAGCTTCTTTACTTTAGGGCCCCAAACTGTAAAACACAAGGCATTAAAGACTGTTCTATTATTGCAACTTAATACAGCAAATCAAATTTTAATAAACTATTGTTCAATTTTAAATTTATGTTTTATAAACATTAAAAAAAATAAATAAATCACTGGCTTCTTTACTGTAAGGTTGTTTTAAATTTTAAAACCAAATGCATTCGCACACACAATAATCAGTAGTTTCTTTACTGTAATGCCTACAATCACGGAACAAGCAGCAACTGAAGAAATTATTGAATTTTAATTGATGTTTTGAATAGCAAAAACTGAATAACTTATTTAATCATGGTCCAAAATTGCAAAAATCATATGCATTAAGTACTATACAGTCTCACAAAGGGGATTTCCTTACAATTTTTTTTACATATGGCCACTTTACTCTATAGTTTTTATTTCCAGCATTTATTTTGAGAGCTTCGATTTCATCTCCAACAAGTGCTGCGAGATCGGGCAGTTATTTCCATTCATTCAAGACCAGGCTCGTCTCTCTTTGAATGGGGACAGACCAATTTCTGTTTCAAAATATATTTGAAATCAGATAAAAACCTCAAATAGTTTGCAGAATTTGGCTCAATAACACACAAAAAACATGATTTTTCAGGTTGTTCTGGCTACTGCACTTGTGCAGATCTCCATACTGTAAAAAATTTCACTGTAAAAAAACTGAAAAAGAACTGGCAGCAGCATTGCCAGGAACTTACTGTTAAATTACCTGTATCCTTCTGTTGTAAAAATGTGCAGTTTTTCATTTTTTACAAATATAGGATATAACCATAATTTAGTACATTTACAGTATAATACAGCTAGAGGTTAACAGTTCATTACCTTTTTTGATGAGGGTGCATTAACTTTCCTGACAGGTATAGCTGCAGATTCTTTCTATACATTGTGTTTCTATTGCTTGTTAAACTGGCCAGAAATGTAATATGTATGAAAGGTTTTATTATTTCAGTGAACTGCTGACATGGGAATTTAAATCATGTGACCTAAAAATGAGGCAAAAGCAGAGTATGTCTTGAAAAATGTCTTGCTCTATTGTAAATAAAGTCTTGGTGATTACACTTGCAAAACCTTTGCACATTTTCATATCAGAAAATGTATTTTTAACAAATAAACCATTTAGGCATTAAAATTAAAAGCAAATCAACTTAGACATTACCCATATAAAATATATATATATTGTTAAATCTTGTTCTCTTTGGATGTCATGTCAGCATAAACAAGAACTTTGACAATAATCTTTGTACAACAGTCTACAGCTGTATAATCCAGTTTGATCCCGCTTTGTCTTTCCTTGTTTCTGTCAGTGTCTGCCTTTATCTTCCCGTCTGAGTCTTGTTCCATGTGCTTTTGTTGTTAGGTCTGTCTTCTCCCCAGTCATCTGTCCCACCTGTGTGTAGTCTGTAGCCCCGCCCTCTCATTAGCCCCAGGTGTGTCTCATGTGTTCTTTTGTTTATTTATTCCCCTTGGTTTGGTCTGCTCCTTGCCTTGGTGTTGTTTGTAGTGCGTTTTGCTGATTCTTAGTTTGAGTAGCTATTCCTGTGTATTTTGTTCTCTTTTCTTTGCTTTTGGTGGTTCTCTTCATTTCTTTAGTGCTTGTCTCATTTTACTTTTCTTTTGTTTCTGGTTCTTTCTTTGCTACTTTCTCCATGGACAACAATAAAACTGCTAACTCTTACACGCATCCTGCCTTCTTGTCTCCCAACACGTTACAACAGCTTTGACTACTTTTACTTTTCAAGCATCTCCAGCTCACTTTGTCAAGTCAACACGAAATCTGACCACAAATTTCCCTCTTCTAGTTTTACTTATTATCAAAAGTAGACTTAATCCTAATGCTAGTGGACTGCCATTGGAGTGCACTTTGGGAGAGTGATGTCACATGGTTGCACTGGACTTGCACTGCATGGGGCTTCCTTCACTGATTGAGAAATGTCAAGTTAAACACCTGGACACAACTAAGAAGTTTGACTGGAAGAGATGTTTAGCTTGCTGTTTCTCCTTCAATAGACAAGAACTAAGTGCATTATTAGACTCACTATTAGAGGCATTTTGAATGAATGTTCTAGTTAATTTGATTTATACAGCAAATTTGAATACTACTGGACTGGACTAAACTATATAAAAGCTTACAGGTTTCATCAGTCATGGTTCCATGTGAAATGGGTGTGAACACATAACCTTTGAATGGATTTCAGAATGCATGCGGCTTCTCTTTGATACTGAAGATTGAAACTGTATGTAGAAAACACAGAAGCAAGCCTGGTCCAGCATTCAATATAGCTTGCTGTTTTCTCACCTGAAAAAAAAAAACAAATGAAAACCAAGTGAAACCACTTGCAGCAAGGATAGTGCCATTTTACTGAAATAATTGTTGGTGACTTAAGCAGATTCTTTACAACCCTAGCAAGCAGTAGCAGCTGAGGAGTTGCCAGTAGGGTGAGCATCCTCTTCACATCAGCTGCAGTGGCAAACAACTAGAACATGTCAATTTAATTGTTTAGTTGAGGCAGAATAACAGCAGCATGCACCACACACGTATCTGTCCGTCACTGAAGAACCCATAACACCACTGAACAGATTCCTGAATTTCCCCTCTTCAGAGCTAGTTATATCAAATAGTCAAACATTAACCATAGACTAGTGTGTTGCAAATGCTTTCAGACACCAACTAGCTAAACTACATTAGTGTGGTATTTTGTGCAGAGAGAAGACGAAATGTTACTCAGGCCAAACACTGCATATGCAAGACATTTTACTCTAATAAAATTGTGATTTCAGTTTCAACAAAAACAATGACATGACCACAGAATTCAGTTGTTAGTTAATTTAGTTAGCTAGTTATCAAACACCCTCTCAGAATTCTCTGTAAATCAAGTTCAGCCAACACAAACCAAATAACAAAAACAACAGATATTAAAATAAAAGGAACTTACTTTGTCCAGTGTTGTACAGGAGGGAAATGCAAGCTTAAGGGAAAATGCACTGCTAAGATGGTCTTCAGTCTTGCCAGCATTCGACGGCTAGTTGTTGAAGGTACTAAAAAGACAAAAAACGTAGTCTGCTACAAAATGATAATCTGGACAGCTGGAAAGGTTACAGATGAGTTTTGTTTCACCTCATAAGCAAAATGAAATGCCATGCTATAATGCAAAACATGAAGGTGGATGAAAATCACAAGGAATTGCCACAAGCTACTGCTACATTAGCTTCATGTCACACAACTCCTGTAATGCATTAGGTTTACAAAAAGTTTAAGGATAATGTGATAATACCGTAAAAATGGCTGTAAATTTACAGCTGCAATTTGTTTTAAAGTAAAGATCTGTTTTTTGTGCATAACAGGATAACACAGTTGTTTTTTACAGTGATTAGTGCATGCCTAATACATACAAAAAAAAATCTCTGCAATACCAGCCTCAGATCATCAGTTCATCAGTTCCTCTGACTAAAACAACACAATATTTCTTTACATTACATTAAGAAAGTGTCTAGCCCAGTGTTTCTCAACCCTTTTTGCTCTAACATACCCACCTCAGCTCACTAAGAGGCTGTTCATGAGCTGATGAGTTGGATCATTTGTGTTGGGAGCAGGGGGCCCCCAGGACTGGAGTAAGGAAACACTTATCTTGACAGTGCGGTAACCCAAATTGGCTGTCTTTTTTATGATTAACATTTTTTATTGATTTTTCCTCTTACATTAATACAAAACCACACATATCAGTATTTGTAACATAAGCCCCTTTATCCTCCCCCCTACCCACCCTAGCTGTGTCGGTGCAACATTCATGACCTGGTTTAATCCAGTACTGTACAAGGTTCTGTATCAAAAATTTTGACATTTGTGCCCATTCATTCTCTTCCAGTGTCAAGTTTAAGTCTCTTTCCCAGACTTTAAGGCCATAAGATTACCAGAGCCATCGCTATGAATGAGCACAGAATAATATGCTGAGGCCTCATGACCTTTCCCATATATCGTTAGTACCCTAGAAATAATATCAGCAGCCTGTGGAGTTTGATGTCGAGAGTCGAAGACCCCCCATAGTAAATGACGTAGTTGTAGATACCTCCAGAGCTGTGATTCAGAGACCCCAAACTGTTGAATCAACTCGTTAAAAGTTTTCAGACCATCCTGATTGTAGAGGTCAGCCAGAGTGTAGATGCCCTTTTCCACCCATTCCTTCCAAAAGAAAGGAGACTTTCCAATGCATAACTTTGGATTCAACCATATACTTGACCACCTATTTAAGTAGAGATTTAAATGAAACATTTTAGCCATTTTTAACCTCGCTGAGTGTAAGTGAAAAATAATGGGATGTGTTTTAGCTTTCTGAGTTAATTTGGTAGACAGGCATTGAAGTGGTGGGAGGGGACCAGCAACAGAGCACTCGATACCATACCAAGGGGGAGCTCTTTCAGGAGGTAGCGACCAATGTGCCAGGTGTCGTAGGGTAAACGCATAATAATACAGCAATAATTTTGGTAATCCTAAACTGCCTCCATCAACCGGCACCTGTAATTTGCCCAAACGTAGGCGAGGGCGCTTCCCATTCCAAATGAAAGAACGAGTTATGCTATCAAATTGCTTAAAGTATATCAAAGGGATTTCCATTGGGATTGCTTGTAGAAGATAATTAATTTTAGGAATGCAATTCATTTTCAGAACATTCACTTTGGCCATCATAGACAAACACAAGGAAAACCACCTGTCAATATCACAGGAGATTTTTTGCATTAATGGGTCAAAATTTACTCTCACTAGGTCTTTTAACTGAGGGGGGAACAGAATGCCAAAATATCGAACACCTTGATGGGGCCACTGGAAAGGCCCTGGTTGAAACGCAGACTTTGGGCAATAGGCAGTCAGAGGAAGAGCCTCTGATTTAGTCCAATTGACCCTATATCCTGAGAACTTAGAAAATGAATTGATGGTTCTAAGCAAACTAGGGACTGATCTACCTGGATCTGATACAAACAACAGAATATCATCAGCGTATAACATCAGTTTATGTACTGACCCCCCCGACAGAAACTCCTGGAAAATCCTCATCCATTCTTATAGCCGCGGCCAGTGGCTCCAATGCCAAACAAAACAAGAGGGGAGATAACGGTGACCCTTGTCTCGTTCCTCTACCAAGAGAAAAATACTTAGAGATTAGTCCATTAGTCTGCACAGCTGCTTCAGGTCGGTGATATAATAGCTTAATCCACCTTATAAAGACACTCCCAAATCCATACACCTCAAGTATTTTAAATTTATAGTTCCATTCCACCATATCAAATGCCTTTTCGGCATCGAGTAAAATAGCAGCAACTGGAGAATGGGAGTCCGCTACTGCCCACATAATGTTGATAAAACGCCTAACGTTATCAGCGGGGGACCGGCCATGAATAAAGCCCACCTGATCGGTATGTACTAAAGAAGTAATCACTCTGCACAAACGGACTGCTAGAATTTGACAAAATTTTTACATCTAATGAAATTAAAGAAATTGGATGATAACTTTTGCATTCACAAGGGTCCTTATCTTTCTTAAGAACAAGGGTAATCAGTGCTTGTGACAGAGTAGGAGGCAGTTCACCCTTTTCAAAAGCCTCCGTATACATGTCAAGCAAGAGTGGAGCTAGTGCTACAGCATAGGTTTTAAAAAATTCTCCAGTAAACCATCTGGTCCCGGAGCCTTCGCAGAAGGCAAGGCCCCAATAATTTCAATAATCTCTTCTCCTGTTAAGGGCGAGTCCAGACCCTGTTTTTGCTCCTCTGTCAGTCTGGGCAGTCTGAGTGGCTCTAGAAAACTAGATACCTCCTCCTCCGTGGAGACAGAAGTTGATCGATAAAAATCAACACAGAAATCTTTAAAAACCATATTGATATCTGTTGTTGCAGTTAAAATGGTGTCTCCTGGAGCCCTAATGGCAGGAATAATGCATGATAGTTCTTTGTTTTATATATCTAGCGAGCAATCACCCTGCCTTATCCCCTGACTCAAAGTATGTCTGCCCTGAACAGAGAGAATTCTACTTGCTAGGATAGTAAACTATTATACTGATATTTTAAATGAGTTAGCTCCCTCAAGCTATTGTGTGACACCTGACGTTTCAACTCTGTTTCAAGCTTTTTAATTTTGCTTTCCAAGTCTAACATTTTTGCCATCTTTAGCTTTTTAATATGTGAGGCATACTGAATAATATAACCCCTTAGAACTGCCTTAAGGGCTTCCCAAACTACCCCCCACAGAAGGCGATGAAGCCAAATTAATCTCAAGATATGAATTAATTTGTGTTCTTAAAGCCTCACGAAACTCTGAATTTTGAAGAATCAACAAGTTTAATCTCCATCTATATGTTCGACACCTGGCACTCTGACGTATTAATTCCAATCTCACCCAAGCATGATCGGAGACTAAGATACTCCCAATAAAGCACCTGGATGTTGAGGCAACCAATGATTTCGAAATTAGGAAAAAATCTATTCGAGAATATATTTTATGGACAGATGAGGGGAAAAAAAAAAAGTCCCGTCCAGATGGATTCATGATTCGCCAAATATAAGTTAGCCCAAGAGTTTTGCACATCCTCTGGACAGTTAACAAGGCTTTAGGAGATCTCAATCCCATTTTGCTGCTGCGGTCCAGGACTGAATCCGTTACCAAATTGAAGTCTCCCCCAAGGATAATATTCTGTACCCCTGCTGCATGTATCTTTCCCTCAAGCTCCACAAAAAAAGCCTGGATCATCCTGATTAGGAGCGTAAATATTAACCAAAGCCATGTTTTGCCCCTGTATTTCTGCTACAACAATAAGAATTCTTCCCCTCTCATCTTTAATCTGTTTACAGAATTTAAATTGTAACTGCTTGTTTATTAATGTCATCACTCCCCTACTCTTACTAGATCCCACGCTGTGGAACACATGTCCAACCCAACCCCGTCGTATTTTTTCTGATTCTTCTGGGGATAAATGCGTCTCCTGCAGAAATACTACGTTGTATTTTTCACGTCCTAGAGAACTTTTAACTTTCTTCCGCTTCACAGGAGGACCCAGCCAGTTAACATTCCACGTGGTGATGCATATTTTATCTAAGTGCACAGACACCCTGTACTCAGTATAAAAAAATAGCAGCAAACCAGACCATAGCCAGACAAACTATAAGATACTTCAGCACCGACACAAAGAACTCCCCCGTTAACACGACACAAAATACAGAAGCGCATGAACTCAAACATTGCGCTCAGATGTCCCTTTCGAAAAGAGTCCCACTTTTAACTTGAAGAGTCCGTGACGCATCCTCTTGAGACAGGCAGTGCTTCTCAGCAACGCTGATGCTATAGAATTAGTCCGATCTGATATTCGTGTCTTATAATGCTCGAAATTAACCCAAAATCTGAACTGAATGACATCCATAGAGGGGGGAAATACAACTTAGAGGAATTAAAAAACAATTTCAACTTAAAGAATAACAATATACTCCCACTATCCCTTTACCAACCATAATACCCAAACATAGAACTTTCGCTCTTACACACCTCTATTCAGTCCGAAGGGCAAATCCACATGCCTCCTATGCCTCCGTCGCTGTCCCGTGGACACACTACTCCATAGATGCAATGAAGGTCTTAGCCTTTCGTGGGCTATCGAAGATTTTGTATCCCTCTTTAGTGTCTATTCTTAAATTTGCTGGGTAGAGCATTGCGAAGCCCACTTTCCGCACATGAAGCATCTTCTTGCACTCTCTGAACTGCTCCCGTTTTCAATTGCGTGACTCTGGAGAAGTCCGGGAATATCATGATGTGATTACTGGCCCAACACAATTTGCCCTTTTCTCTAGCAACTCGTAGCACAAAGTTTCGATCTCCCGATCTCAGAAATTTCACTAGAATTGGTCTGGGCCTTTCCCCGATATCGGGCCGAGGACCGCCAGCCCTACGTGCCCGTTCCATCTCCAGTTGCCTATCGACAGTGTCCAAAAGCTCAGAGACCAGCTCAAGCATAAACTTGACCATGTCATGACCTTCCTTGCCCTCGGGAATACCAACGAAACGAAGGTTGTTTCGCCGGTTGCGATTCTCCAAGTCCACCAATTTGTCCCGCAGATGGTCCACCTCTGTTTTTGTGGCCGGTGGATTATCTTTCGACTCCTTCTCCGCCGCTTCTAGAAATTCAATCCGCTTCTCCGCTTCAGTAATTCTTGAGATGAGGGACGACAGTTTTGTCTCTACCGAAGCCGTAGTCCGTCGTATTTCTTCGAGGCCAGCCATGTCGTCCGAGATTTTCTTCAGTGTTGCGTAGATGTTAGCGATATCCAAGCCCAGATCTTGAGGCTCATTACTTGTGTACGCTGGGCCAGCGCCATCTTGTTCAGTCCCGGAGTCAGGGCCATGCGACCTCAAGTGTCTCTTTATATCCCCACGCGCAGAGGATTTCAGTTGTTTAGACATCATACCCGTTCAGTGTCACACAAATAAAGCAAACGTATTAAATTAGACTGTTCGAGAGGAAATAAAAGGATAATTATCGCAAAGCACCGCGGAGCTAGACTCTACGCCGCCTTCTCTCTCATAGCGTCACGTGACCTCCCCCAAATTGGCTTTTTTTTTAATGGCACTTAAGCATATGGGCATGGCAGCCATGTATATTGTTTTATTTTGTTTTGTCTTTTTCCCTTTCCCCAGGTATTGGGTTAAGAATAAAGCAAGAATGTCGTTCAACTGCAGACACAGTGTGTGAGCCTCTGTCAGGGTATTATTGTGAAGAAACACACGGCAAGACCTGCAGAAAAGCCAGACAGCACTCCAGCTGCCTTCCTGGACAATATATCAACCAAACTCGTCAGTACTGTGCAATCCGCTATGATCACAGTGCCACAGTTTAATTAATGAATAATGAGCCTGTAATATGCCTGGGAATTTTACAGGATTAAACATACAGTGATAAAAGCTAAACGGCAGTGACCGGGTGACCATAAGTCTAAGATAAAACATTACCTTTCAGGGAACAAACGCTGTTACTGTGACAGTTCAACAGAAACCAGACGCTTGCGGATGGAAAGTTGATGACAGTTTAGTAACCAACAGCAAACAGAGCAAAAAGGGCACAGCAAAGTCGTCGTCGTGAAACAGGCAAAAAGTCAAAAAACACAGATCAATCAGTAAAGGCAAAAGTACCAGAGGGATGAAGCAAAGTACAAAACGGGAGAAACAAACCAGTGGTCAAAAACACGGAAGTCAGACAATCAGAATATAAACGCTCAGTAAGTCTCGGGAAAACAATACCTCGCAACGAACCTAACTAAAGCCCGGGTTTATATACTACTAGTTCGCTGTCTCATAAAAATACACACAGGTGAAAGCAGTTAGTATTCCGGTGATTGTGAGCGCTGATAGGAGCGTTCGCGAGAGTCACCTGTCACGTGAGCCCCCACTGCACTATGGGCAATGGAGTCTCTGTCGGAATCCGAGTCCGCGTTCGATGGCCGAGTCACATGATCTCCCATGGGATTCTGGGAGATGAAGTCCGTTTCACGAGAGCATGCCGTAGGCGTGACAATAAGATCTGAGTCTTTCAGTCAGGAAATGACGCTTTATTTCCAGTGATGTCCTGACACTGGCATTTTTACTGATTTTGTGACTTGAGACTCCCCTACTCTTACTAGATCCCACGCTGTGGAACACATGTCCAACCCAACCCCGTCGTATTTTTTCTGATTCTTCTGGGGATAAATGCGTCTCCTGCAGAAATACTACGTTGTATTTTTCACGTCCTAGAGAACTTTTAACTTTCTTCCGCTTCACAGGAGGACCCAGCCAGTTAACATTCCACGTGGTGATGCATATTTTATCTAAGTGCACAGACACCCTGTACTCAGTACAAAAAAATAGCAGCAAACCAGACCATAGCCAGACAAACTATAAGATACTTCAGCACCGACACAAAGAACTCCCCCGTTAACACGACACAAAATACAGAAGCGCATGAACTCAAACATTGCGCTCAGATGTCCCTTCGAAAAGAGTTTTGAGCAACGCATCTTTAATGAAAATGCTTCTGTTCATCTTCATTTTGTTCAGATAATTAACATTTATCTGGCCTGCTTTTCCTAACTAAGTTGCAAAAAAACAATTATGTCCATCATCAATTTAATATGCTTCTGTTATTTCTTATTCTGCCATTTTTGGGTGTGTCACACAAAAGTGGGTGGGCCTAGGCCCGAGGCCAATTATACGGCGTATACACTCTACCTATTTAATATGCATGACCTCTTAGAGATATGACAACAGAAAACTGAAAGTACACTAGCAGATTTCATTGCTTTGTTTGGGGGCTGTTTACAGTGCAACAAAAGGACGTTTCAGTACTTGGAGGAAGCTGCCAAAGTAAGAACTTTTTCAGCTTCATATTACCATCTGGGCTTCATCACAGTACATATACTCTATTTATGTTTATAGTGTCATTTCTTGTCTTGGCTGTCATAAAAAGAAATATTTATTTAAGAATGCTTTTTTTGAGCTCATTTTAAGGACAGGAGAGTGGTTTCTAATGGATTCCTAAATTATAATTAAACACAATAAAGTGTTTATTTCTTTGGCTGATTCTATGTTCTGGTGTTGATTAAGGAAATAACTTACCAACAAAAGCTGGGAGTTTAAAGATTACTGAGGTATACTTGATTTTGGGCTCTTAGCTAGTCATGTTGACTAGTTAGTATAGTCTGTATAGCAGGGGTAAACCTAAGTCTGGAGGCATGGCCCCAAAACATCTGTTCATCAGCAATAGGTAGAAATTTTCAAGGGTACATCATCAGTACCTTTAGTTAGGGAACATGATTGTTCCATATTCTAGGTTGCTGTTATATTTTTTACCTGTACTGACGCCGTACTCCCCACCTTGAGGCCAGGCTTTTAATTTTAGTTTGTCACTTAAAAAAGTTTAAAGAAAGGGTATATGTATGAACCTTTCCTTAGGGAAAGTGAATGTAGTCAACCTTTAAAACTCATTTAAAGCTCTATATAAGCATAAATTACTTTTAAATGCAAAGAAAATTAAATTCATGCTGTTTTCTGGAACTTCTAATTTTGATTAAGTCACTAAAGGGATGCTCTCTGTAATTTTATTTGATCTATTTTAGTTTTTTCAGTTGATTTCTTGGTTGTATTATTATTATTTTATTGTCTTTTGTTCTAGTTATTTATTTATTGGGCGGCACGGTGGCGCAGTGGGTAGCGCTGTTGCCTCACAGCGAGAATGGCCTGGGTTCGATTCCCAGTTGGACGACCAGGGTCATTTCTGTGTGGAGTTTGCATGTTCTCCCCGTGTCTGTGTGGGTTTCCTCCGGGTACTCCAGTTTTCTCCCACAGTCCAAAAACATGCAGTCAGGCCAGTTGGACATGGTAAATTGCCCCTAGGTGTGAGAGTGTGTCTGAGTGAATGTGTATGTCTGTCTGTCTGCCCTGCGATAGACTGGCGACCTGTCCAGGGTGTATCCTGCCTTCCGCCCAATGACATCTGGGATAGGCTCCAGCACCCCACCGTGACCCAGAAGGATAAGCGGTTTAGATGATGTATGTATTTATTTATTATTTTAGCATTACTAATGTTGTTTTTGTATTGTTTTCTATTTTATCTTTTCGTTCGTACCCTATTCAGTTGTTTTATTTATGTATTTTTATTACTAATTTTTTTATTTTATTTTATTTTTTATTTATTATTTATTACTAACGTTTTAATAGTAATGTAACCAATGTAATTGGTTGTCCTGATTTGCCTTATAAGATATACGATGTGTTGTTTCCTCATTATTATTTTTATGTACAATTTTAATAATAAATTCTTGGTAATCTTTTATTTAATTCATTTAATTATTTTAAAATTTAAGCAGCAGAGCAGTAGAAAGAAGACTGACAAACTGAAACGCTCAGCTCATCAGCAATAGGTGGAAAATTTATCCAAAAAAACCTATTTGGTCAAGCTGACATGCATTAGGTTTGTCTCTTTGTATGTTTGTATTAAGCAAGGATCTAGTGTAACTTACGTACTATATCCATACACTTACAGCAGATACAGATCAAGCAGAGATATTAAAATCAGGCAATGCTACCTCCTCTCTCTTAGATAGTTCAAATATGTTATTCAAATACACAAATTATAGATTGGTACAGTCTCAGGGCTGTAAGCGATTTGTGTTTTTTGCCACTGCTTACGGAGGATGGCGGATGCAGGGCAGTTGAGAGTAGCCCTGTGTGCTCTACACATAGTTTCCAGAAGTCCTTATGTTTTCTGGCTTTATAGCCTATAGAGTCCACTGCAGCTTTGTGTAGCATCGAGGTTATAGAGGTCCATTTCTGATCCATGGTATTATAAGAGTACAGAATGACCCCATCTCTGATGACTCCATACCTACAGAAAGACAGAACATGTTTCTTGATGGAGCTTACTTTGACTTAGCACAATTCAGCTGCTTCATAATAGATCTCCTAGGATGCTGCCAAGGTGGCATTTGGATGATGAAGCTTGGTCATGATCAGGAGGTGAACCGTTTAGCATTCTGCACCTCTCATGGTCAACAAGACATCACTAGTGTCAACACGTCTTGTTACAATGTAATCAATCAAGTGCCAGTGTTTGGATCATGGGTGCATCCAAGATGTTTTATATTTGGTCTTTTGCTGAAATGTTGTGTTTGTAAAGGTGAGTTCATGCTGCTCTGCGCAGTGTTAGTAGCTTCAAACCATTTGCATTTGCCTGCCTAACACCATGTCTATCCATTACTCCACTCCATTTATCGCTGTTTCTTGCCACCGTAGCATCACCCAGAGGAAAGATCCTCAAGACCTAAGTCTTTCCTGTGTATACATTGAAGGGCATCGTCTAGTAGCTTGTAGAAGCCGTCCTTCACAATGTTGTCTGAAGGCAGTGTTGGTGCACATGCACTTAGCAGAGTTGCACAGCATGCCCTTCCTTGGGCACTACGGAGGGTCATCAGCTTCTTACTTATTCCAACTACCATTTCAATGAGGCTGGGCAGACGGCTGTTCTTAATTGCTAGTCCCACACCACACTGATGTTGGCCACCAGGGGAGTAGCCATTCCAGAAGTATACCCTCTTCCCAACTCTTTCAGAGAGCCTTTGCCTAGGAGCCTTGTCTTGTAAAGAGCAGTGATGTCCACATTGTAGCACCTCAGCTCCTCAGCAATCTGTGCAGTCCTTCATTATCCAGGAGATTCCTGGCATTCCATGTTGCCATTTTAAAAAAGATAATTTTCTTATTTTGACTGCAAAATAGAATTTCCAGTAGGTGTGGTAACCTAACTAGGAGATGGTTGAGTAGGCCACCTTTTTGTGCCCTTCCCCTGTTGGGGTGAGTAGTGCAGTCCCTAAGTAGAGCTGCTCAGTCATACAGCATTTTGTTGAAAGCAGCTGCCACTCAACCCCAGCTGCTAGTGACCATATACTCCATGCCACTGACATGCAGAGTTCTGACTAGGGGGCTCCCAGGGCATTCTTCCCTGCTCCCATCACCAGACACATCATTGCTACGACTTCAACCCAATGCAAGGCCAGGTGTTTTACACTGTGGTCAGAAGTGGAGACCTACACAATAAGGTTTTGAGAGTGCTACGGGGGTGCACAGTCCCCAGTAGCGCTATCGTCGCCATAATGAGGTCAATCCTGGTGACAAGTGGGAAACCCAGGATAGCCGGCCCCCATCATGGCTGCAGGAGGTTGCCAGGGCTCCAGTCTATCAGAGACCTGCCTAAAGTTTGCTGCCAACACGTTACTTTTCTCTCAGGGTGTGATCCCCTGGCCTGTGTCTTAATAGACTTACCCACAAGGCAACAAGGCAGTGGTTGGCCATGGCAAGAGATTAGCAGGCAGGAAGCATGCATGCACCTTCCCTTTAAAGATGGAACTTCAAGATAACTTCTTGTAGACTTGGTGATGCAATGTGTCCCCATGGTGACAGGATGGCTATAGATAAGCAGTAACATTTCCTTTTCAGTTTAACCATACCGTGACCATGAATGTGAGGGCGTGTGATGACAGAGTTGCTGGGCAACTTTGCAGGAAAGCTAACACACCTAGGCCACAGTATGATTTGTGTAGTACCAGTATTTCTTTCAAAATACTGAACAGATATATAAAAATTAATTATTTCAAAGCTATCAATAACATTATTTTTTATCTCCCTTGCTAGTCCACACTCTCAGTGAAGGTTCTTTCAGTGGTTAGTTGGTCAGTCAGCTAGTTAATGTACATGCTACATAGCCTATCCCACATTGCCTTTATAATTCAGTTTTTGCTAGACTATTGTTTTGAGGTCACCAGAGTGATCAGGGCATAGAGTTTTAAAGCCCTGACAGTTTGTAGTTTCAACACCATTATTTTTGACTACATTATGCAATACATCTTTACTTCTTTTATTCAATACCTGTTCTGGACCACAGAATCAAAATGCTGTCAAATTTGGATGCTGTTAGTGATAAAAGTAGGATGTTGAATTTCTTGTACTTTGCATTAACATTCAGAATTTAAGTTTGCAGAAGATTAATTATTTAAGTTATTTGTATGATTTCATAAATTGTAGTTAACTTTCAAATATACCAGAATATAATTCATAAAACTGTATGTGCTATTATATTTCTGACATTGATCCCAGCCATTCTAAAATATTTGCCCTTTCTTTCCAGTTTTACCCCCAAGGACTAGAGGACGTTCCCAAAGATGAAGATCAACCTTATACTGGGAGCTTTGCTCATCCTCATTGAACGGGGTACTTGCTTATGTGAATGGGCACAGTATGAGATAAATGGGAAATGTTGTCCCATGTGTGCATTTGGTAAGCAAAAGCTGGGGCTTCCATTTAGTGTTCAAAACAGCAATGTCTAAATCTGTACTGACAAGGGAAAAATCAAAATATGTCATCACAAAGGAGGTTTGTGTGCATTTTGAATTTGATGCCAGTAACACGTTCCAAAAAAGTTGGGACGTGGGCAACGCTAATGTAATGCTAAAAAACCACCTGGTGTTTAATTGGCAACAGGTCAGTAACTTGATTTGGTATAAAAAGAGGCTTTGTCTTTTAGAAGTAAAGATGAGGAGGGGTTCACAAGTCTGTGGAAGACTGCACAAGCAAATGCTCAAGTGCAACAATTTAAGAATAATGTTTCTCAATGAAAAATAGCAAAGAACTTCTTCTTTTGATCACATATGGTACATAATAACACTAAAAGATTCAGAGAATCTGGAAAAATGTCTGTGGACAAGGGACAAGGCCAAAAACCAGTATTTGCTGTCTGTGATCTTTGCGCCCTGAGACAGTACTGCATTAAAAACAGACATGATTCTATAGTGGATATCTCTGCACTGACTCAGAAACACTTCTGAAAACCACTGTCTGTAAACACAGTTCATAACTGCATCCACAAATACAACTTAACACTTTAAAACACAAAGAGGAAACCGCATATAAACAGGATCCAGGAATGTCGCCACCATCTCTGGGCCCGAGCTCCTTTAAAATGGACTGAGGGGTAGTGGAAAAGTTTTCTGAGGTCTGATGAATCAACATTTGAAATTCTTTTTGGAAATCCAGGCTAAAGACCACTATTATCAGTGCACAGTTCAAAAGCCAGTTTTCATGATGGTATAGGGGTGCATTAGTACACATGGCAGGGGTGACATGTACATCTCTGAAGGCACCATTAATTAATATATACATGTTTTGGCAACATATGCTGCCATCCAGATCTTCTCTCGTCTTTTTCAGTGAAGGCCTTGCTTATTTCAGAAAGACAATGCCAAACCACATTCTGCATGTATTACAACAGTATTGCTCCATATTAAAAGAGTCTGGGTACCTGCCTGCGTTCCAGACCTGTCACCGAATGAAAACATTTGGTGTATTATGAAATGAAAAATACAAATAAATAATTTGTCAGCTCATATGTAGCCTTTTTTTTTTCTTAGGGACTTACGTCTATAAAAGCTGCACTAATGACATGAGCACCATTTGCATACAGTGTACAGTATGTGATCCTGGTAAGTGTGTTCTGTTTTTTGTGTGTTTTTATGTAGAATTCATTGTGCCTTGTGTAAAACATTAGTTAAAGATGTATAATATGTTTATTACTTTGACATGGTTTGGATGCTATTTTGTTTCTTACAGCTCAAGGATTAAGAGTAAAGACTGCCTGCACATGGTCATCAGATACAGTCTGTGAGCCAATAGATGGATATTACTGTACTGATCAACAAAGAGGCAGCTGTATACAAGCTGTAGAGCATACAAACTGCAGCCCTGGACAATATATAAAGCATATAGGTTAGTGTAATATATCTATATAATCTATATAATATTAATTACTTCAATTTATGTAGCTTCTTTATCAAACCCAAGAACACTTTACAATCACCACAAAAATTCAAGCAGCAAACAAAACACACAAATACAGTTCTCCAGTTGGCAGGAAGGAAATTATGCTACTGCAGTGAAAAGTCTCTCAGCTTGTGGCCCATTTAAACTCAGCTATCATGACAAAGCCGTAAAACTCCCCAACCAGTAGAAAGAGTTCAAAACAAATTCTATAAAAACCTCATACAATACAAAACAAATTTTAAATGTAAAGCAGCAGCTAAAATGAGCACTTTCTTACATACACACACATACACACACACACACACACACACACACACACACACACAATGCAAACTTTTCCAGCAACACCTTTTTGCACTTTTTAAATGACTAGGTCTTTAAGGCAATCATGTTATTCAGTGTGACTTAACATAACTTGTATGTTTGCAGGAACAGCCTTTAAAAATACTGAATGTGCTGAATGTCTAGATGGTACCTACTCAGATGGCTCCCTTCAAGTTTGTCAACCACAGGAGTAAGTGTTAACTTTACAAATGTTACTGAATAATTATTCTGTTCAGTGACTAATTAATGTGCTCAGCAGAAATGTTTCCAAATTTGTTACAACTGTGAGATCACTAATCACACCAAATAAATAAAGCTGCGGAATAATTTTAACAAACAAGAAACCATATTTACAAACCTTACAGGATATCATATAGGAGAATATGCTACAGTGACTAATGTAGTGTAATAAATTAAATAAATGACAAATAGACAATGTACCATGCTTGCTATTATAACATGCACATAGTAATAATTGCCCCAGATTGGAAGAGTTAAAGATAAAATTGGTTGATCAGAGATGCAGCTTGCGAAAAGAAACAATTGACTTTAGCTATAAGGGAAACTGTAATACTTGCTCTACCAGAGCAAGTAGGAGTTAGCGTAAAGAATGTTAGACATTCAACAGTTTCCATAGATCATACCAACAATATTTCTGGTAAACTAAACTAAGAAAATTATGTAATTTCATTATCCATTCTGTCTCACTCTGACAGGTATGAAGATCTGGGATTTACACCTATAGTTCTCCTTATTGTTGGATTAGTTGTAGTAGCTGCAGTGGCAGTGTATTTCAAAATGGCATATAAGTCTGTCCAACGGCATGAGGAAAACAGCTATATTGACTGTTAGGGGTACTGACTCGTGCACCTTCTTCTGAGTGCCAGATGGATATAATGATTCTAGGAGAAGGAGCAGAGTTGCTAACATTGGAGTTCATTCACCAACCGTTCTTAAGAAGAAATTCTTCTTACCTCAACATAGTTTTCATGAAGATTTTGACATTCACCAATATTTTTTTATTTGGGATTTGTTCATAGGTATAAACAGAATCAACACACTCTCAAGAGCACAAAAGTGTGAACAGTTCTGCGGTTGAAGAACACGTCAAAAATCTGACTTAGACTTTTCTTAGGACGTTTCTCAAGAACAAATTGAAGAAAAAAACTAAGCAAACTATTGGCAAATGAGGCCCATTCTTACCTTTAACATATTACGATAATTTGAAGAGGACAGTTTGACAAGGCCAACTTAAACTTTCAAGGTTAACTGCTAGGTGGTTGCTGGGGTATCTTAGGTGCTACTATATCTCTTCTGGTTGCTTGGATTATGCCATATGGTTACAGTTGGATGTGATTGTTTGAGGTTTTCACCTATTATTGCTAAGCAGTTGCTAGGTGGTTGCTATGGTGTTCCATGCAGTTTCTAGGGTGTTGCTCGGTGGTTGTTGTGATATCGTAGGGGATCTTTCATAATTGGTAAGTTTTTTGCTAGAGTACAGCTAGGTGATTGGTATGATATTTTAGGTGGTTGCTATGGTATTTTAGGCAGTTAATGTTGTGTGGCAGGTGGTTGTTACAATATTGCCAGGTTGTGGATATATTATTCTGTGTAGTTGCTAAAGCGTTGCTCTTTAGTTACTAGGTGTATTCTAGATTCTCATTCAGGTGTTCAAAAGCTGTCTTTAGGTAACTGGTAAGTTGTTTGCTAGGGTATAGCTAGGAGGCTGCAGTGATATATTAAGTGGTTCTTAGGGTGTTGCTAAGCAGTTAATGTGGTGTAGCAGGTGGTTGTTACAATATTGCCAGGTTGTGGATATATTATTCTGTGTAGTTGCTAAGGTCCTGCTATTTAGTTACTAGGTTTATTCTACGTTCTCACTCAGGTGTTCATAGGCTGTCATTAGGTAAATAGTAAGTTTTTGCTATGGTGTAAGTAGGAGGCTGTAGTGATATATTAGGTGGTTGTTAGGGTGTTGCTGAGCAGTTGCTCTAGTATCTATGGTGGTGGCTAGGGGGTTCTAGGTAGTAGCTACAGGGGTTTAGGTGGTTGTTTGCTGGTTGGTATGTTAATTCAGCAGTTGCTATAGAATTGCTAGGCAGTTGCTGCGGTAACTGGTAGTTTTTTTTCTAGGGTATAGCTAAGTGGTAGTTATGAAATCTCTGGTGGTTGTTTGGGGATTGCTAGGTGGTTGCTGTTTCAAGCAGTTATCTTATTCTGTTATTCTAGTTTCAATATAGCTATATTAATCTAGATTTGCTAATGTGTTGCTATTTAATTGTTACGATATTAGTTACTAGGGTGTTAAGCTAGTTGGCTGCTATGATATATTAGGTGGTTGTAAGGGTGTTGCTAAGCAGTTGCTATAGTATCCAAGGTGATGGCTAGGGTGTTACTAGGTTGTAGCTATAGGGGTTTAGGTGGCTGTTAGCTAGTTAGTCTGGTAATTCAGTAGTTGCTGTGGTGTTGCTAGGCAGTTGCCATGGTATTATAGGAGGTTGTTGCTAAGTGGTAACAGTTAGCCAAATAGTGGTGATTGGTAGAATAAGAGGTTTTTGTAAGAGGGATGATTCAATTTCATGATGTTGTTAATTCTTTCATTCATTCCTTTGTATATTAAGATGCTGAGTTGGCTAACCAAACTGACTGTTAGAGTGAGACTCAATTGGACACAGCACTACTGGACAACAGAGCTCAAAATCTGACTCTCTGGTCAAAAAACGGATAACTGGCAACCCTAGTTAGATATAAGTAGGCATCACGCACATAGATATATAGAGGGTTGGGATCAAGTGGCTTTAGCAGAGCTGAGTAACACTGAGATTAATAACTGATCATCACATTGATTTATCAGTCTACTCCGGCTTTAGCAGAGCTCAGTATGCCTGAGATTAATAACTGACTCATCACATTGATGTATTGTCTACTCAGGCTTTAGCAGAGCTCAGTAACACTGAGATTAATAACTGATCATCACATTGATGTATCCATCCACTCAGGCTTTAGCAGAGCTCAGTAACACCTAGATTAATAACTGATCATCACATTGATTTATCAGTCTACTCAAGTTAAAGCAGAGATTTCAGTGTTTTTTATTGAGTTTGTTAATGAGCATGTTTTTGTCATGCTGTGCACTGATTTTAAAATAGTTTTACATCAAATAGCATTAATGTATTTCTTTTGAATGTTGTATGATGTTTTATTTAGTCAAAAAGTATTCTAAAAGTATTCTCCAAAAATGCTACAAAATGCAACTTAATTTTTTTTATCCTGTATACATATTTCAAATACTTGTATTCCGTTACATCCCAACCCTGGATATACAACCAGAGATGCCACATTGGGTTCAGCCAGACATGTCAACAGTGTTGTCATCCAGCATTGCCTGACTGCATTCAGTAAAATTACAAAGCCAGAGTTTACTGTCCAAAATTAGACTATTTAAAGAATACAGATCCTCAGAAAGTTGGACAGAATTATATAATAGTAAGAACAAGAGCAACTGATGTTTTTGCAATGTTTATGTATAGATCATGGCCATGTAGTTGGTTTAATTGCACACTCTCATTATGACACATCAATACAAGTAACTTAGAGAATACCAGCAATCCATATGTACATATGTGCAAGCAGATTGTCAGTTGTATAAAGAATAAAGAAGCCAAAAAAAGTCTGACATGCTGTGTGATCATTTTTTTTACATTTTTAATCTTTTTTTTTACAAGATTGAGCTCTGTCATTGGGCTTACGTCCTTACGTTTGTATTTTTGTAATTTTGTAATTTGTAATTCACGTATTTAAATCAATAACAGAATTTCATGTGAGCTACTTAGTCAGTTACTTATTAATTGTATTGTGCACAAAGAAACACTACAGTGCAGACAGACGTCTTAATGGTTATTCTTTTTAAATGTTATTATAAGTAAATAATTTTTTTTTTATCTAGATCATTAACATGTTGATTGTGATGTATTTGATCTGCTGTCTCTTTTCTCAAAAGGGATTCCACCACTACCTTAAGCCTTAGATAAATACATAAATGTAAATGTAAATACATCTTTACTTTACTTTACTTTGTCACTTCTAAGCAAGAGAACTTCATGAATCATGAGAACTATTCATATCTTAATACATGTGTATTTTTTTACAAGCAGATTTTGACTGTTCCATTATGGCAGACGTCTTACCATCACTGTAAGAACAGGAGACATCACAGCATCTATGTGTGTATATCTGTGGTCACAGACATACGATATACATTTAGACGTAAAATGCTTTTTTTAGGATGAACCAAAGATCATATAAATGGTAAACCTAGATAAAGCATACCTATTCAGGACTTGAGGAGGAGAATAATAATAATAATAATGATAATAATAATAACAATAATAATAATAATAATCCTCAAAACTTAGTGAAATTGGAAACATTTTCCACTGTTATGAACGAGATTCAAGTCTCTGTTATCTGTATAAAAGGGGGAATAAATCCCTTCTTTCTCTCACCGAAAACCACATGACCATGTTTCCAGAGATATTTTTATATGGCGGCTCTTGCTTCATGAATCCTCTATGTTTAAACGAAGTAGCTAGCTAGCTATCGTTCAGAATCTAGGCCACAGAATTAGTCTTTTTAATCCTAGGGAGAATTAAAGCCTACCAAGTTGCACTCTGTTTTATGGACAAAATGTGTTTGAACTATTTTTGCGGGTGTTCCCAGGCCAAGAAAGATTGAGAATGTTGTCCCAAGCGTGCACCTGGTAGGCCAAAAGCTGATGCTCACAGGATTTATTGGGAGCTGTGGTATGGTAAAAACAAAAGTAAAACAGTTCAAAACTGCAGTGTCTAAATCTGTACTCATAAGGGCAAAGCTCCCATACGTAGATAAGAAACAGAGGAATTCAGATAGCAGTGAGTTTCGTGTGCAGTACAGTGAGTACAGGTTAAATACGTAATTGTGGTCATATCAACCTCTTTTTGTCTGTATTTAAACAAATGTCATTAACAACCTTAATTAGAGCAGTCTCAGTCCTATGATTAGGTCAGAATCCTGACTGAAATTTGTCTAGACAGCTATTTAATGACAAGAAGCCAGTAAGTTGCTTGAAGATGGTTTTCTCAATGATTTTTCCAATGAAAGGTAGATTTGAAATCGGTTTGTAATTACTTAAAAGAGTTGCTTCACAACTGCACTTTTTAACGTGTTGGGAAAAACACTCAAAATGAGTGCGGTGTTTACTATCTGAAGTATGTCCGCTGCTATTGGGTGAAAGTTGACTGCAAGTGGATAATTTCAGATGACTCACTGTATTGATTAAAATATCATCATTAATAGCACTAAATTATTAATAGCACCATGACATCTTGACATGGTGATGGACAGGACACAGGTGGATGGATTGGTGGATATAGATGTACTAATAGCTTGTCTGATATTATGGATTTTAGTGTTAGAAAACTATGCATTATTACATATTATGCACTCATTACATCTCTCAGTTAACACTAATTTAGGAGCCATATATGCAGGTGACTTTGTCAACCATGGCAAAGAGTATTTTGTTATTGTTATTGTTAACTGTGTTGTAATTATGTAGCCTATCTTTGAAGATTTCTTTGTGAATCTTAAGCTTGGTTTTACACCATCATTCAACTTTCCTACATTCTTTTCTGGAGTTGAACCGCAGTAGCATTCCTCCATGGTGCTTTCTATTGGCATGACATGACATTAACTGGTACAATCTCAACTCTAACAATTCATGAATTGAAGCTGTCCAGCAAAGCACGAACAGAATCAGATGGTTTGCATGGTGCAGGGCACAATTTACTCATGAAAAGTGCAGCTGTGCTGTCATTTATAAACCTTTTTCTTAAAGCAAACATGTCTGGTCTTGATGTCTAGTGACTTTTATCCTGCCTGCTGTTCTTAACTGAGCAGCAGTTTATAGGCTAAACTGAGACATTACAGACTAGCTACTGGATTCAGTAATGTAATGACATGCGATTAAATGGCAAAGCACCTGATGGCCCTGGCTTGTAACTCACTCACATTTATGCAGTTAACTTATGTTTAGCAGGCTGAAGATTCTCCATAAGGGGGTGCAATAATCAGTCAGAGTAGTGTTCTGCATTGATGACACTGGGTGTCCTTGTTTTCTGAACTCAAACACATGCAGTTCACAGCTGTACCACAAGATTTAAACATACCTTTTAGTATAGTTTGTTTTTTTATTTGATCCATGCTTCTTGTAGCACACCATCATTTAAACGGCTCCTTTTCAAATGTTTTCTTGTTTTTTCCCCCTGAGGATTTATTAAAGTGATTTGAGTTCATATTTTAAAAACAATCCTAATTCATTTGCACTCTGTTTTTACAGTTTTTCCACTTGAGACGGGCTGTTACATTAAGAAGTTGTTCTGCTTATTAGCCTTCCATTATTCAGCTTATAAAGCAGGCATACTGCTTCATTTAGAATGACTGAGTGGTCAGATGTTTGTAGCTGTGGGGTGATACTGCTTTAGGGTGGAGTTGAGAGGGAGAGGATCGCAAACCTACATTTCTGGAGGAAGCCACTGTATTGTTCTACTAAAAGCTGACAGCAGGTTATTGATATTTTCCTTGGCTGTTTACTCTGAGGAGTATGAGGAATTCAGCCTTGCAAGTCATGAACAACATGTACTGGATTTATACACAGTTGTATGCAAATGCTTGGGCACCCCAGTCAAATTGCACATTAAGGAGTCAAATAAAACAATACTCACCATGCAATATGCACACACTATATACACATACACAGACTATATAAGTATATACACACATACTATACATGTTGGTAATACTGCTTTTATTGTTTCAATACTGACAATGTTATTTGCTTACTTTAGAGACATTGTTTAATGTAGTCTACAGTTCTATGGTTTGAAGAGAAGGTGTGTTGACGTGGAATCTTAACTTTCTGGTTTTTTATCAAAAACTTGTCAGTGTCGTTCCTGATCTGATAATGTTTTATCAGCAGCTTCGAAACCACTCCACATGTACACCTTCCTGCACTGTGTTATCAGCTGTTACTAAAAAAGTCAAACTCACTATCACTGTGAAAAAGAGTAATAAAGTTTGTCCTTTTTTTTGTAAGAAACCAAGAAAAATTGGTTTCTTCTCTGCCATTGCACGTTTGAACATACATGACAATCATTTAATAGTCATCCTGCACTTTTTATCTCAGCTGTAGCTATACAGTAAACAGTGCTTGTGTATGATTTAAAATGCATGACCTATTAGAGCTATTGTACAGAGAGTACAGTGCTAGACTGCACTGCTCTACTGTTTTATTCAGGAGCTGTTTATAATGTGCAATAACCAGACATTTTATTTTTAAATAGGTAACAGGACTTCATTTTGAAGCTTTTGGGAAAATCTAAGCTAAACTAAATTGTGGTTTATTCACATCACTGGATTTTTCAGGAGAGATTTCCAAAGTAAGAACTTTTTAACCTATAACCTATTTATATTTCTGGTGCAATTTCTTGCATTTTCTCCTTTTCAAAATAATGCAAAATGCAAAAAGGATCAGGCTGGAATTCTAAGTACAGATGTTTTTGTACCTTCAACCTAAAACAGTCTGGAATGTTTGTAATTAGAGAGGGTTTCTAATCATTCCTAAATTACCAATCGATCATCAAAGAGTATTGATTTTTTTAGGCTAACTGTATTTGTGTGTGTTGCTGCAGTATTGTAGAAAGGTAAGGTTACACAGTTGTACTTCATTTATGGGCTCTACAAGGTTATAGCTCTTCTTTGCTAATCATGCACAAAACACTAGAATATTTCTTTCTTTTACATTCAGGTTTGTCACAATTAGTTGTAATACTTGCTTTATAAAAAATCCTTTAT